GTTTTTTATCGAGGTGAAAATAAAGTGGCATTTTTTTCAAACATTTTGGATTGATGACGTCGTGTACACAGTGTACGTAAATGTCTATTCGCGGGTCCAGTTGGTATTCAACATGTATCTTCATAAAGAACAAGAGATTTCACTCGAATTTCAATACATATATACTTGATGTCCAAAAGTTTATGCATGTTCCATCAGTTTCACATAATTCGCTGCAAATACTTTGATTTGACCAATAAAATGCATCTGATACTATTCAAACAGCCTCGTGTCAGCCTATACTACACGCCTTCGGCTGATTCGAATGATATTGCATAAAAAACACTCACTGAATTCTATTGTCACTTGAAGACAGGATGAAAATCCATCATTTTCCATTTAGAATATGCCAAACGGTCGTTGTACCAGAAATATATAATTTTATTCGCTTGAGATAGATAACGGTAATAAAAGAGATTATTAAAATTTCGATAGACGAAAAAAAAATAAAAAAAGAAACCTAATCAACGACGGTAAATGCTATTTATAGTCTTCGGGTATTTCCAAAGTGATCACTTCCGAGTTAGAGGAGCGAGCGTATGTTTCACAGGACCAAACTTATGTCTTTTGTCGAGATAATTCGTCACTACAGTAAGATATGCTACCAACTGTGTGAACATGAACTAAAGGTCAAAACTGCAACCTGTCAATATTTGCAAATGAGAAAGTGATTAGGTAAACTTGTCCATCGTACAGAAATTAAGTAGGCGTTCATCTTGCCAAACAAATCATAGCATAGGTAGGTATTCTATTAAAACCAAAATGTATTTATTTTATGCAATATATGATGATGTAGGTATTCATGTACATTGATCTTTAGATGTATGAGGCACATAAAGTTTATTTATACATGTATATACTGAACTACTGAATGGAATATATAAATCACAGAAAACAAATCTGTAAACTCAAGTACGCATGTGCAGGGTCAGTTTTTGGTGAGGGAGTGGTGGCTTGGGGGAAAATAACAATAGTAGGCATAATGTTTATATGTTAACATGTACTCCACACAATAACTGTTCATTTCGTCGATATTTCTAAACTACCAGCTTATTTGAGCACAATACAATACAAATTTTGAAATAAAAAGATGAATCTCAATTGTGTATATGTATTCCTTTCATCCTTTACATGATAAACTTTATTCCTGGTTTTCAAAGTGTCCAAAACAAGTTTATATCTGTAAAACTTTTTGTATTTATTTACAATATTTATCAACAATGCAGGCTGATATTGCGTTTACATAGTTCAGTTTTCCAGCTACAGAAAATAATATCTAATAGAACTTAATATGACAAACAAAACTGTGCCATGTAAAAATAATAAGAATTTCCATTTGATCAAGTTTCTTTGTTTATGATATCTCAATTGCTTGAAGCCCAGTGTTGGTACATGTAGCTATATACAAGCATATATATATCTGTGTTGTTTGAATCTAAAGACATGTGTCATAGATCCCTAACATTACATGTTGGACATATATTATATGGATAAGTTCTCTATTTTTTTTCTCTGAACTAGCCTCTTTTTCTCATTTTTTTTCGGCAAGGTACTCAATACGTTCTAAATAATTTATCAGCTACTGTAAGAGATATTGTTTCAAAGTTAGATAAGCATATGATGAATTCACAAAATACACATTATTGTATGGAAAGGACAAAATTACCGGGATCAGTTCCTACCGGCCTTTATAAGAAAAAGAGTAGGGGTGATATCATGATACCTTTACACAATAAAGGGAGTGGGGACATATGAATGCAAGGTGATCAGAGGTGTACAGTATAACCTAAACAAAATGACGTCTGTCTTATTCAGATCTCTGGTGATACTGTTCTTGGTGTTTGGTCCTTGAATTATGTTTTTACTTACATCCTTGCAAATCTTATCTACCAAATGTTTGTTTTAGTTGTCAATTCATTTATAAAATGATAGCTGAAATAGCCAAGATAGTTCATAAAATTTATGAATTCTGGTCAAGTTGAATTAGATTATGAGGAGCCATATAATTAATTAAGCTGTGATTTTAAACGTCAGCCTCTGATGGTCGAACGACATTTATTAGACCATAAATATGTCATTGTACACGTACTCATTCTGAACAGATTTTGTAACAATTAAAAAAAGAAAAGAAAAATCACACACGCAATAAAGAAAACATTTGAAGTAGCATGTGTATTGTGTTTGGGTGTTTTCACTGTTTGAGTTTTGAGTCTGTGAGACTTACATATTGTATTGTGAATGTTAAGATCCACCTAACCTTATAATCTGGAAACCTCTATCATTAGGAAAGTAGTTTGATAAATGTAGCCCTACAAAAATAGTGATAGTCTAAATCCTTACTTGCTTAAACTTGTGCAATATTTTGTTTTGTATAATGTCTACTTGTAAAATTTGAATTGTCTGAATTGCTATCCATATAGGAACTGACTTCATTTGCTCATATTATTTGATGACTTTGATATCTTTATTCCTAAATAAAATCTGTCAATAGATTTGTTAGTACATGTATTACTGATGTCAGCAGCTTGTGACATGGACATTACATTTTTATTTTTTTCAAACCTTCAGCTATTTTGTGGTGAAGTATTAAATGAAATGTTCATAAGAGTAAAAAAAAGATGCTTATATTAACAATGTTTTTCTAATTGCTAACGTCAGGTATCAATGTAGCATGGACAAAGTTTGGTGATACACCAAGTACGATATACCTATTGACGAACTTCTCTATTAGAGTTTCTGTTGGGATGTAGAACTGACTTCATGACAATCATACTGTCAATCAACGAACCAAACACACTACATTGATTGAAAAGGTGATGAATATGATAATGATATGTCAATTATGAACGTTATGTAAAACAGACGATATCTTAAAGTTCACCTCTTTATGCAATAAAGTTCGACAACTGGTAGAGACAGTACTGGTAAACCACCTGATTACGGTGTCAGTTTACTTCGAACAGATTGAAAAAGTGATACCAGGAAGTCTGTTACTTTCCCTGCCCTAGGTGGTTTGTAAGTCAATCCATCCCGGTTCATTTCGGATTTATACACAAGAGTGCATAAACCAGGACCTTGGGATCCAGAAAACATGTGTAGGTGAGTATAACGTTTTATTGGTAAATGTACACATTATCGAGATAAAACTGAAACCTACTGTTCCTTTCGCAAAAAAAACCCTCTGAATTTCAAAGTATTACGTATACATTGCTAGAGCAGAACATGTTACGTTTGAAAGAAGAATTACCAAACGTTAAATTGAACAGATTGTATACCAATATAACAGTTTTACTTTGATTCAGGTAACACGATATCATATTCGTTACCGAAAATGGAACACTTCTTTAAGAATTTGATGTATAATTTATGTTTTGCAACACAAGTGAATATTAACTAAACAAAAAGTAAGGTATTCATAAATTATTCTGACTTTTTATCTTCCCATGTCTTCTATGCTTCTTTTTAAAAAAACAAATCCCGAGGAATGATGCCAATTTGCGTAGCCTGACGTTATACATTAATGGTTTGAATTCAGATTGATCGGAATATTAGCTTATCTTAGTTGCATATTGATATACGAGATTAAACTGACACTGAACATGTTAAAAAAAACGCATTGAGTATTCCTGAGAGACTTATTTTATCCATAGATGATAATTGTACTCACCACTCCCGTTTTTCATGTTTAATGTCCTTCCGTTCGATATGCTGCATTCCATATAGATACTATCGAACGGAATGAGGTCAGCAGTGCTTGTTCTCCTGTAAACTGCATTCTATCTATTGTCCCCATAGCAACATTTGTTGTCTATATTTTAGTTTCTTTTTATCGTCGTTTCCTAACTAACCCAAAAAACCTATATAACGGATTTCCTCGATCGCTTTTTATTTGTTTGCTTAATGGATATATCTGCAATGAACAGTCAGTGTTAAACAACACACTCCTACCACATGACATTCAGAGCCATACACGTAAAATGGCTTTCTTAAAGGCACAACGACGTCAACAGTCCAGTCTGTTTCTTACCTTATTTCCTCAACCTTCTTTTATACAAAACGACAACATAAACTAGGTACAATAGAAAGAAGTTTATTTACACCAATTATTTCTTATAAAACTTATGAATTATGGCAATCTCAGGGGCTACTCTGAATGACTGCTTCTGGCAGTACATAGTTCAGCTTGCTACTTGAATGTCATAATGCATCCTGATCATGACATGAGCCTGTGGTCCAGGTTGAAGTTGGGGATGACCCGGCAACGACAACCCACTGCTAATAGTCTAACAGGATACAATCAACCAGCAGTGAAATATTTTAAGTGTTGTAATTAATAAGGTCCAGTGCTGCACTTGGGGAGTGTCCGGCAAGAACAGTCATATCCGTGTGTGAACACAGTGTACAGAGCATTATTAATTACTGTAAATGTAGTAAGAATCTGCACTGAGTGTAATTTGTGTAATAAGTAAAGGTATATCTGTATTGGATCCTGTAGATAGATATTAAATGTGTTTAGTCTACATGCCCAGGTTGAAATTGGGGAGGCCCTGGCAAAGACAACCGTGTGCCAGGTATCATGGATACACACATAATTAATTACCTTTAAACAAAAAACCTGTAAAATTATATACAGTGTCTGAATTGGGGGAAAATTCAGCATTGAATTTAAGGCCAAATCGAATGAAAACGTGAAGTTGTGACCGCAGATTACAAGTTATAGTTTGAGAGAGAGCCCCCAAGAACATTATACCCAATTACGTTATATTTCTGGACAGCGTCACAAAAAGACGTGGTATGTCAACCAATCATCTAAGCTATGACTTTATACTTGACAAATATACCTTGTTTCCGAGTACTGTTATCTTGTCATTCTAGATAAGTCGACCATGTCACGAGATTTGGCCACTCCCTTTTTTCAGCATCGATGGTTTTTCTTTTTTAATATCACAATACTTGTGATAATGGCTGCTGATAGAAAACGTACATTGCAGGATCATAAGAGAATCAGGTTAATACATCCCGTAGGGAAATCTTACACTTGGCATCAATATCTCATTGTATCCTACTTCTTCGATGTCCGTTCGCGAGTCTGGTGTTTTTGATTGTCATTAAAGCAGTTTTTAGTTTGAGAATGAGACATTGCTATATCATCCAGTCCAGTCTCTAGCTAAGGCTATTTATAGTTATTAGTGGCAACAGCAATCTGTTATCCTAAGCCTTCGGCTACAGCGTCTAGCCTATGGACACAATCAGGACCGCTCTTAGCTTTCAGTGGAACAAACTCCGGTCCAACCCCTGCCTAGAAATGTTCACTGAGGTTCTTTTCTCTAGTGTAAAATCGTAGCGTAAGTATCGGCCAATGGGAGTTTCCCATGTTCTATTCCGAACGTGAGAAGGACTTTTTGTTTTTTATATTTGTGTCTGCATACTAGACATTCTGTGATTTCTACCTTCAGAAAGACGTTATTAGCCATAGCAGATATCAACGAAATGACGTCCGAAGAATTCATTGATGTGTTTGGTAATGTTGTGGAGCAAAGTTCCTTTTTTGCCGCCGCTGTTTGGCACCACCGTCCGTTCCAAGATGTTCATCACATACACCAAGTTGTGTGTGAATTCCTCACCAATTTACCCTGTCACGGTAAGGCAGTGTATATATTTGGGAAAAACTGTTTTATATCAAAAAATGAATGCTTAATCGATTTTTCACAAAAAAAACAATGTAGGGACAGAATGTATGATAATGAGGTTTCGGTACTTCCAGGTAAACAAGGACTGCTCCGCTCTTTTCAGGACCTATCAGATTCGGTAGGCCTGTCCTCGGAGTCAAAGGGTGAGCGAAGAGCTGCCGGAATTGATAGTCTTTCTCACGATGAAACAGAGAAAATTCAGGAGAGGAATGAAATGTACCGTGACAAGTTTAACTTTCCTTTTGTCATCTGTGCCCGGAAAAACAAAAAAGAGGCAATTTTGGAAGGTTTGGAGATTCGATTGCGCAATAGTTTTGACGAAGAATTGACAAATGGTGTAGAAGAAGTAAAACAGATAGCGTTATTTCGACTGCTTGATATTGTGGAAAACTGACATCTTCACTGATATTTTATTCAACTTTTTCTCTGAAAAATCGAGGTTATCTTTTAAATGATTTCTGTCGCTCAACATTTCTGTCACACTGTCTTCGTACTTTTCCTAGGTCTTTAGCATCTAGCCTGTCCTTTAAAAGAAAATGAATATGCATGTGCTTTAAGGCATAATGTACGTTTAATGTGATACATATGTAAATAAATATTAACACTCTGGTTTTGATTTTGAAGATTCTTTTTTCTTTGTCAGCGAGTTCATAAAATAAACTTCATACAATGGATACTGGTGTCGTTTCATTTACGAACCAGTGACAGAATGAGGTTTTTTGTTATGTTGTTTAACGTCCTATCAACAGCTTTAGTAATTAAAGTAGGGAAACAATTAGCAATTCCTTCCTTCTATTTATATGTTCCTATTAAGCAAAAGAGTGATGGAAAGCTGATACCGTTATTTTCTTATTTTTTTTTGTCTGATAAAATCGCTATTTAGACGTTGAAAGGGTCGGTCTTGTATGATGTTCATAAGCGCATTCTGCTTAGTCGCATGGACAGATGAAAGAGACAAAAAAATCTATCACAGAGCGACTCTTTTCCTATCTTTATGTTTCATTTGAGACAAGAAATACAGGAGAATGTATTACAAAACTTCTCAGACATGTGGCTATCATATGTTAATATACAAATAGCAAACGATACAGTCTATTTGGCATTACGAATAGAACTTCATTGTAGATTGCATACTCATCCTTTTGTGAATCTTTCTCGGTGACACTCACGGAAACAGTAGAAACAGTTAAAAGAAAACGATGCGAGTATTTAGCATTTTGTTCGCTAAAATCACAGAATAACTCTTTCCAAAACTTTTTGCTTTCTGATTCTCTGTCAAATTTACAAACTAAGGACTGCTTTCTCCCTACAACTCAAAAAATATTATGTAAAAAATGTAGCGAATATTGGTAACGTGAACAAAAGTACATAATTATCGTAACAAAATTGGACAATGTTTATTTTCTCAGTTCCACCAAACCTATAATAATAAACGTTATGGAATCAGACAAGAGTGTGCTACTACCTGATAATATCATTCTGAACCGATTAGATTTAACAAACCTTAATTTTATTTCTTTCACTTTGGATTTTTCTCATTAACCTACTCGGCTTCAAAATGTATGTTTATAGCGAGTCACACAGAGACGAGGTTGGTCGGATGAAAGTGAACTGAAGTTATTGCAGATACTTTTCAATTTGAAGAAACAGTGACCTTGATCTTCGGAACTGAAAAACAAACTTCAGCAAGCACTTTTGGTAAGGAAGCACTGTAGGAAGTTTGACGTAGATCGGCCAAAGTATACTCAAGTTATCGTGAAACAAAATCACAGCATGCACTTTTGGTAAAGAAGCACAGGGTGAGTTTGAGGTCTGTCGGACAAAAGTTATTGCGAAAAAGATGGGGTTTTTTTATTTATAGTAACAGTGACCTTGACGTTCGAAACTGAAAAGCATTCCAAAGCAAGCCCTTGTGGTAAGGAAGCTCTGTGTGAAGTTTGAGGTTGATCGGCCAAAGTGTACTAAAGTTTTCGCGAAAAAACATTTGTGTGGACGACGGCGACGACATTGTAATACTATGTCGCCTTTGGCAGGCAGGCGACATTAAAGAGGTGCTACCTGCAACACCATCATTTTATATATCTAAGTTGGAAATACCTTATAATGGTGTTGTTATCACGTGTGTATTCTGTGATTGTAATTATAACTTGATATGAATAGTACATAAAGATCTTGACAGATCTACTGACGAACCTTTTCTCCAGTAAACATTCTGTTACAGTTTCTGTATGGACGTAGAACTGACTTCATGACAATCATACTGTCAGTCAACGAACCAGACACGCTACAGTGATGGAAACGGTGATGAGTATGATAATGCTATATTAATCATCAATGTAATGTAAAACAGACGATATTTTAGGAGACAACTTGATACACGGTAAAGTTCGACAACTGTTAAAGACAATACATGTAAACTTTTGCGAGATTACGATACCGTGAGGCGAGGCACTAAAGCTAACCTTTCTCGCTTCGTGGTATCGCAGTCTCGCTTCGTGGTATCGCAGTCTCGCTTCGCGGTATCGTGGTCACGCAGTATCATATTCCATTAAACAAAGCGATATTACGTTTTCTCACACCTCTGCCCATGTAGGATACATATGTCCAATGTGGAACACCCATGGAGGATTATAAGACTCTTTTCTATATGGGTATGTAGGATAGGGATATTCCACCCGAGGGGTCACAAAATGTGGTAAAACCCGAGGCTTGCCGAGGGTTTTTACCATAACACACGGCCATGTCCACCCCAAAATGTGGTAAAACCCGAGGCTTGCCGAGGGTTTTTACCATATTTTGTGATCCCGAGGGTGGAATATCCCTATCCTACACACCCATATAGAAAAGAGTTTTTTTCTCTCATTTCTAATCTCATATTATCAAATATTTGCACTCACCTCGCGGTAGCCATCACTGGACGCCGCCATTTTTCAGATTTCTATTTTTTTCCTTGGGCCATATACATAAAAAATATGCTGAAATAGATTCTCCATCCCCGAATTTTGCAAACTATGTTTGCGGTCGAAAACATAATTTGGACTTTGAATGTAAACATCCAACGTCAGTGTTTAACTGTTTTTTCTTCAAGCGGGCTGGGTCAAATACCCTGTCAAATACATCACCCAGAGACATGCGTACGCGTTCAAATATAGTGCCTTAAAACACGCAATAAAACAACACTTTTCTTTTTAATATTTACTATTGCTCAATGTATAATATATCATTACCACTTTTTACATCTTTGAACATGTTGGTCAAGTTATTAATACTACTTCACTGTCAATAGTAATCTTACAAATCTTACACATTTATGAATGGAATTCTTGGTTTGCTTGTGAGATGACGTCACTTACGTCACACATTTCGCGCCACACCGACAGGAGGAAAGTTAGTCATTGTCACTTTCAATCACACGTGGACGACGGCGGAAAGGCCGAGTCCAGGGTTGGTGATGTTGATATTTATAAAACAGTTTTGTTAATACGAGCCTGCAAACAATGACTCCAATCGACTATGCGTGTTTGTGGATGAAGCGGATGACGAGGACAACGATGAGTGCGCGGAAAAAACTATGAATTACTCCGCGCGCGAGGCTTTATTACACAGGCGCCTGTGTAATAAACGTCTATCATGACCATGTTTATTGCCATGGACAGGCCTATCTGACACAGGTGGAAATGAGAGAAAAATCTATCCCACATGACTGCACTCGGTGACCTCAGTCGGCTATCACAACTGACTCAAACCGACGAGTGGATGCTTTGTTTGCAGGCTCCGTAATGCGCGACTGTAACATCACAGTTAACATTAACTATAACAATCCTTGTCCAGTGAACACAAATATACGCCGGAGGATCATCTGTGACTCTGATTCTGAATGAACACACGCGTGACACTCACACCATTGCAATTTTTCGCGCGCATAAACAATTGACGTCATTATAAACTGGGAAATCCCCTTTTCGTCCATGACATCGCGGCAAGCCTACTCTAGTTTAATAAATGATACGGAGTTAAATGTTGTTCAATACAAGTGTTTCCATGTATCTATAAAAAAAATGAATATTTTTAATGGTTATTCATATTGCGTTTGTAGTCTGTCATTTTGCTCTCGCGGAAGAATGTAGAATTTTGGAAACGTGAATGGTGATATTCATGCGCCATTCAGGCACTTGTACCGTGGAATTTTTTTTTTTTTTTTTACGTCGTGGCGGAAATAATGGGGTGGGAGAAAAATAATCAACCCCTACCCTCAAAGGATGTGACAGAGAAATCTCTAACCCTCGGGGTGATTTTTTTTTGTAGTCTAACCCTCGGCAGAGCCTCGGGTTAGACAACAACAAAAAATCACCCCTCGGGTTGGAGATTTCTCTACCACACCCTCAGGGTAGGGGAAGATTCTATTAGTCCCAGATCAGCCAACGTACAGCTTAGTACTTTCACTGTCTCAGGTGGTTTAAAAATCAAGCCGTCAAAATTCCATACGTATTTGGGATTTACACACATAGTACATAAAGCTGAATTTTGGATACAGAAGATATGCTTGGATGAGTATAATTTGTATTATGTAGTAAGTATACATTTTATAGAGATCGTGTTGGATAATGTTTTTTTTGTAAGGAAAAATGTGGAATTACTACATATGTGTTGTTTGAAGGCAACACATTCAAGCATCCACAATTCATCAGAGGTAATACTTGCTATCGCTCTCTGCACCCCTGTCACCATCCTCGATACTCCAAGAGCTATGCTCACTATCGCTCTACACCCCTGTTACCATCCTCGATACTCCAGGATCTATGCTCACTATCGCTCTTTGCATCCCTGTCACCATCCTCGATACTCCAGGAGCTATGCTCACTATCGCTCTTTGCCAGCCTGTCGCCATCCTCGATACTCTAGGGGTAACGCTCACTATCAATCTCTGCATTCCTGTCACCATCCTCAATACGCCAGGGGTTACGCTCACTATCGCTCTCTGCATCCCTGTCACCATCCTCGATACTTCAGGAGCTATGCTCACTATCGCTCTTTACATCCCTGTCACCATGCTCGATACTCAAGGAGCTATGCTCACTATCGCTCTTTGCCAGCCTGTCACCATCCTCGATACTCTAGGGTCTACGCTCACTATTGCTCTCTGCATCCATTTCATCAACTTCCATACTCCAGCGCTCACTTTCACTCCCTGTACCCCTGTCACCATCCTCGATGATCCAGGAGCTATGCTCACTATCGCTCTTTGCATCCCTGTCACCATCCTCGATACTCTAGGATTTACGCTCACTATCGCTCTTTGCCAGCCTGTCACCATCCTCGATACTCCAGGGGTTACGCTCACTATCGCTCTCTGCACCCCTGAAACATTTCACAATTGAAGGTTTCTTATGCAACAACTTATGAATAAGATAAGAAGACTTCTTTGATCCTTTTATCTGCATCAAGCGAATTCGAAGGTCGGATAACGGTATATTGTAATGACTTTGAAGTTGTATGTCGTCCCTTTGTAAAGATCTCCTCAGAAATATGGTTAGTGGTAACATCTAATGCACTGCAATTTCCACAACCTTCTTAAATTATACCAAGGTATGTTATATTTCGGGACAGCATCGTAAGAATTTATGTGTGTGTCACTCAGTCATTTGTATGGAGATTGTACTAAAGACACACAAGTACAGAGTACAGCTTAACAATGAGTTAAACTGCATCATACGGCTTTTTTGTCATTCTAGGACTCGTCAGTGATGCAACATCCTACAGCTGTTTCGTCCTTCTAGGACTCGTCAGTGATGCTACATCATACATCTGTTTCGTCTTTATAGGACGCGTCAGTGATGCTACATCCTACAGTTGTTAAGTCTTTCTAGAACTAGTCAGTGATGCTACATCATACAGTTGTTTTGTCCCTCTGGGACTCGTCAGTGATGCTACATCATACACCTCTTTTGACCTAAATCTTAAAGCCTAGGAGGCGACTGAGGAAATGCACAATGACCGAGAGAAACGTCAATATCTACACGAGGAGACGTACTAGCCCCTCAATTCAATAAATTTTGTAAAGTTTATGCATTAGATAGTTTGAGAACAACACCAAGTATATGTGTAGATGTTTTCATACACAATCGCGTAAAACAGCCCAGTAAACTTGCATCACTGCCATATTGTGCCCTTTAACAAATTATATATGTTAATGGTCTATACATATTATACAAGTATGAATATGCATACACTAGATACGAGAATCATGTTATTTGGTAGACATAGAAATAATCAGTTAAGCTACAAAATCAAGACACGCTCCAATGGTTTAGTATTTCACTTTATTCAACACGCCGTTCAGGGCAAAGTGTATAATGTAAGATATCCTATCAGACATTGGCGCCGCCGGAAAATGGGAGTGCCAATAAATTTCCAATCAGACAATAGCGCTGACGAAATATGGGAAAGAGCAACTAAATCTCGAATAAGACATTGACGCCGAAGCAAAATGGGAGAGCCACTTAATCTCCAATTAGACATTGGCGCCGCAAAAATATGGCAAGGAGCCACTTAATCTCCAATCAGACATTGGCGCCGAAGCAAAATGGAGAGCCACTTAATCTCCAATCAGACATTGGCGCCGCAAAAATATGGCAAGGAGCCACTTAATCTCCAATCAGACATTGGCGCCGAAGATATATGGGACACAGCCACTTAATTGCAGGAGCCACTTAATCTCCAATCAGACATTGGCGCCGAAGATATATGGGACAGAGCCACTTAATCTCCAATCAGACATTGGCGCCGAAGGTATATGGGACAGAGCCACTTAATCTCCAATCAGACATTGGCGCCGAAGGTATATGGGACAGAGCCACTTAATCTCCAATCAGACATTGGCGCCGAAGATATATGGGACAGAGCCACTTAATTTCCAATCAGACATTGGCGCCGCAAAAATATGGCAAGGAGCCACTAAATCTCCAATCAGACATTGGCGCCGAAGATATATGGGACAGAGCCACTTAATCTCCAATCAGACATTGGCGCCGAAGATATATGGGACAGAGCCACTTAATCTCCAATCAGACATTGGCGCCGAAGGTATATGGGACAGAGCCACTTAATCTCCAATCAGACATTGACGCCGCAGCAAAAAGGGAAAGGGCATGGATTTTGAAAATTTTACCTTAATGAGTACACGGTTCTAAATATTTCTACTAATTGTCCCAAAGTTCACTCTACTTCATCATCACGGCCACACACTATTGATTATAGTTTCGCCAAGATGATTAAGCTTCACAATACAAACTTAAAATGGGACAGACACATTAACTCAATTTCATCCACAGTATGCCAGACTCTTGGCTGTATCGAACGAAATTTGAAATTAAAATCACAACGCGTAAAAGAGCATGTATACAAAACACTAGTCCGTCCAAAATTAGAGAACTGCTCTATTGTCTGGGATCATCACTCAAATCAACCAACCAGAGAAAGTCCAATGCCATGCTGCACATTTTGTCTATGACCGGTATTACAATACCAGTTCAGTCTCGGACATGCTTAATATGGCCACTCCTACAAATTCGCAGAATGCCATGCCGGCTTATTCTTTTCTACAAAATTATCAATAACCTTGTAGCTATCTACACTGAAATCATCCTCACCCTTGCCTATTCTGGAACTCGTTCCAGTCAGCACAACAGTCTCTCCTTCAGACAGATTCAAACAAAGAATGATCCTTACAAATTCTTGTTCTATTCCTACATAACCATTCCATTGAACTGTCTTCCACAAACTATAATTTCCTCAGAAACCAAGGACTCTTTCACAAATGTTATCCCACAAATATACATATCCAGTACCTTATTCGACAATTCAGCTTCCTAATTCATGTCTATAATTTTACTAAATATGTATTAAAGTACTAAAAATATTATACTAATATTTAATTTTACTAAAAATTATACATATTGAAATATATATACAAAAAAATAAACGGCACATAACTAAAATCATCAATTGTGATGGAAGTCAGTATCCCCAAAGAGAAACTGCTAATGGAAGCGATTTGTAAAGGACGGCGAGCATTGGCAAAGAAGTTGTTCAGTAAATCACGACAAAAACTTCTCACGAGGAAGGATTAGGGAACAAATTATCTTGCTCATAGTGAAATTTGAATGGGATTTCAGCAAGTAGAAAACGTTACAGACAGGAAGATAATTCAGAATTTGTTCCAGTGTGCTCTTCATACAGTAACGCAGAAATGGTTATATATAGAGACTAGAAGACTGCCGTTCATCGTCTTAGCATAGTTGAAACAATCTAACCTAAGAAAGCAATGTTGAAAGACAAACTGTAGGTTTTAAAAAGCTATCTTTTTTAAAGGTAACATTTCATTACACGAAACGACTTTCTAGAGGTACGGTTATAATATACATTGTACTAATATTTGATTTTCTGATACCCCAATATCAGAGTATGGGAATTGTTCTCCTAATAAATCGTTTTAAAGAACAGGTACTTTGACCAGTTATGAGAAAGGGATTAATTACTGTCACATTATTCATCCTGCTCAACGCAGTTCTAATTTTAGCATAGCTGTAGTACTTAAAGACTTCTAGTATTTTCGATTTTGTGTGAAGAGCTAATCAGTTGAGGTGATATTTTAATCCACCAACAGCAGACAGCTGTCGGTTTGTGATGTGAATGCCAATCTCCTAATGAGGGGCGCCAATTTGTGCCATCCTGCGTTCACCTTAAGCTATATTTTCGCAGAAAAGCACTCCCTCTTAACAGAGCTAGGGTGGGTTTTGAAAAAAAAATGGTCAAAATTAGGAAGGGGTGTTAAATGATAGTTTTACTTTTTTAGTTAAGAAGGTCAAAATCATAATTTATTTTTCACATCAAATACTTTTAAATGACAAAATTGTTAGTAACCAACTTTAGAATATCTTGACAACTATGATCACCATGATAAGGAAATAATTTATGCTGGGCAAATTGCTGACCCTATATGACCTGGTCAGGGGATCTAACACAGGTCACATTTTCAAATTTTAACAATCTTTGATGAAGATAATACGTTTGTATTTCACAAACTGTTACATTATAAAACTGAAACACCTGCAGAAATTACTCCTTTTAAGGACAGCAATTTTCTATCCTTTTCAAATTATCTCTGGAGATTCACAGAGTAATCTCCCTTATTTCCTATTTCACACTATCTTTTCCATTACATACACAAGTGAATTTTGATTTGCCAGCTCCGTAGGTTGAGTTAGAATTTAACATTCCATAGAGTTTACATCTAAACCCTACTAAAGAGGTGATTTCACGGATGTCATCTCACTGTGGAAATACAGTTGTAGTGCTGAGATAACTATAGAAATATCTTCGCTTGGTTCTGACATGTTGCCTTTGGAGTCATCTTTATCTTATCCATCTATGCAGACATTTTTGTATACATTGTTCCACAGTTGTCTCCCCTTTTTTGTAGTTCAGATGAAAGATTTTACCATTTTTTTTTTCAAATTCTAGACAATTCATCCAAAATTGTCATTTTGCTGTTGTCTTTTCTCCATCACACACGTAATTTTTGGTTTTACAAAACAACAGACACAAGGTTTATATTTTAGATCATATTTATTAAGTCAATATATAGAGTTTAGTAAGTGAATCAATGACGTATGATATCACTGTAATAGTAGCATACAATAACATGATACGAGGAATTATGTAGAGCTGACACTGAGGTACACACCAAAATTACATCTGGCAACAATATATATATATATATGTAATGAATGTAGATAACATCAATATCATTAACTAATATACTGGCAATATAACACATAAACAGTGTGTGTACCATACCCAACCTGCCCAGTGTCTATGTCAACACACTACTTTAATACCTATTCTTTGACCTCTTTTAGGCGAGATCAGGTGAGAGTTAGAAATGGTTATTTGGGTCAAAATTATGAATAAGTTATCTTAAACAAGTTTATGATTTCAATTAAGTGCACCATTTTCTTACATCAGAGTTGCAGGACAAAACAGACATCATTAAATAAATAAATAAAAAAAAAATATTTGTGTATTGTGTTAAATGGAACAGCAAATCTTCATGTACTAATTGCTTAAGCCCCCCCCTCCAAAAAAGAAAAAAAAAGGCTTAAAAAAAATGCAGATCAATAGCAGATATCAGATGTCTGTTGATACCAATTTTTTCTCTCTTTTTCTTTGCACTTTATAAATATATCAATAGTGTTAAATGTTAGATTGTAAGTGAAATTGAGGTAATTATTGAATGTTTTAGCCGTGGTGTGTAGACATAGGCACTAGTAGTGATGAATATGGTACATAGCTTTGGATTACAGTCTATAGTTGAAAACTTCTCCTTTACTTTGCACCTTTTGATATCAGTCTAAATCTATTATAATAATAAACATTATGGTCGCCTCAGGTCTTGTACATTACACTGAATATCACATGGTATATACTTACATCACTTTCATAAATTGTAGTGAATACAGAAAATAACATTAAACATTGACAGGAATAGTAAAGAATTTTGCCAATTTCTTTGAATTTAAATTTCGCTTGCGAAGAAAAAAGAAAAGGATCAAGAATATTGTCTTTTTATGTTGAAATAGGAAAAAAACACAAAACAATAATAAAGAAAAATAAAAAAATTTTTTCAGCATTTGGAAACATTTCGACAAAAAGAATTTATTTTTAGAGATGTGATTCCATATCAACTGCCAAAATAAGGGTAGTAATATGCAGCAGGCACTTGCCTGGAACCGGGGATTAACACCACAAGACAAGAACTGGGACTAAGAAATTTGCACAATGCTTAAACATCAATACCACAAAACACAGATACATTAACAAAACTGTGACTAGCACCAAAGTTCAAAGGAAAAACAAATCTCCACCAGGTGGAAATCTGTGCTGCTGAACTGAAAATAAAAATATCTAACTAGTAATGCTAAATTTACCTTGTCATCACTCAAACCCAGCACTATATTGCGCGAGTTCCTTAATGTTGTCTGTATATCTCTGATATACATAATACAGTGAATCCCTCAAAAAATCTGACTCCTTCCGAAATCATTTCTTGGTCCCCCATTAAGCATACAAAATAACAAACCTCTACACAATATCTTGAATAACCCTTTATTATGGTCCCAGCCCTATCCTGTGAATAAATTCCAACTATATCACTTATACTACTATCTTTGGCCAAATATATAATCTCTTGGCCAGAGTTATCTAACTTTACCAGAGTTATTCCCCTTGCTCTTTTTCTTTCATAATTACCTGTCTCTCATGATGCTATTGTAAATGTTTCTTTTCAGACAGAATGTCAAAGACAATTTTGTACAATGGCAGTGATCCATATTTGATTTAACAACATCCTAATTTCAAATAAATGTTTTAGTGAATTATGTTATTATTGGCAAGTAAAGGGACTCTAACATTAAAATCCAAGTATCTATCTGAAGATTCTGATACCTCTCTAAATGTCTAATATGAGAACGAACACAAAAGAAAATGGACAATCTTACCAAACATTTATAGGGATTCAGAATGGGAACCATTTTATGACGTACTTGCCATTTCTATTCAAACCTGAGTTTCATTACACTAAAAATAAATTAATGAAATACAAGTACTACGAAACGAAAAAAACATGGAATTTTTCTAAACAATTTATCTACATATCTGTGAGAGAAAAAAAAAGGGAAAATATCACTGTGCCTTTTGCAAACCACTTATCTCCCAATCCGTTCCAATATCTGATCCTGAGAAATTTTTGAGTATGTGTTAAAATTCACCCCTGATATTACCAATGGACTGTCCTATTTAGACAATACCAAATGAAACTTGTCAGGGGTGATAGGATGATAATGCCGACCGTTTCAGCTATTGAGTACGATCATAAGAATGCTATTCTGGTTATTTATTTATCTTTTACCCTAATAACTTCTAATTCAACTTCTTACAACATTAAATGCAAATTCTTCAGAGCTCCAAGTTTACACAATACATGACAGATAAAAGTACTGTTTTCAACAAGTAATGAGAAAAAAATTCCAATACACAATGACTGAAAAGTCTGTCCATGAAAAAAGACAAAAGTGGCACATTACAATACTTAAAAAAAATGGATCTCGCATAATGTTTGTAGATCTTCTATCCAGTTGTTTTGACTGTACGTTTAGATATCAAACCAAATATCATTTTCGGAACAGATTTTTATCAGTGTTGTAAACCACATATTATAAAACTGCTTTGTTTTGATAATCTGTGATACAGATGTTACACACTATCTTTTTGCCACTAAATCATATCAAATGATATCCTCCGTTAATCTTATTATCATACAAACAGTTGTTAATATGACTTGATTGTTCAATCGAATAAGTTTAAATGTACGGTAGCATACATGTATTTGTAGTCTGTAAGCAACATATATATATTCCAAACAACCACTTAGCTGTCAATTTTTGAAATTCAAAGTGAATACATGTGAAACAAAAGCAATCTTAGTCAATAGTCTTTGGTATGTTACTAAAAGTACAATGAAAACTGCTGTTTTGTAGATGTACAATAAGCATATAAAAAAGCATTATTCCAGGGAACACCATATAATGTACATGTTTCCTTTATATTGATTCCAGCACGGCTTCAGTTATACAAAATGTATATGAGAATTTCTTTATTTGAATAAGTTTCTTACTATTTTTTGGTTTCCATTTCATTACCTGATTACACTGCAAGTATTTGATTTAGAGGTAAAATCTTAACTAACAACTATATATATATATTTCCAAACAATATGTGTTCAATTTTTGAGTTTATATTTCCATAATACTCCAGAGTAAATGAGCTGTGGTCTTTTAAAACACCCCCTTGTTTAATCTGTTAACAACTTCAGATACAGGTAAATATATCTGACGATAACAACACAGATAATTCTGTCATCTAATATCATAAATGCAATGACTTAAAAATATCATAACAAAATGAGGTTTATCAGATTTTCATCTGCTTCCTGACCCACCCCAATCTACACTCATGGTCACTCACCATAACAACCACTCAAAGTGATTAAATTTAAATAGTACACTCTCTATAGTGAGGCGATTCTTTGGCCAGCACCTGCAATGTCAACAGACTTCAAATGTACACCCTCTATACAACTATAGAATTATTCAACAAGCTTAGTCTAAACCTCCTTCACAAAGAATTTGTATGTTTGTCTCTCTCTGTTATGACTCCAGATAAGCACTATTTGAATTTCCATTTGAGATTTACATTGTTTCACTGGAAGTTTGTCAACAATTGTCCTTCGTCCTGGAGGCAGGCTGTATTTAGCAGCATAACACTCCTCTGAAGATCTCCAACGAAATGAACTCAAGTGTGTTGGCATTTCTGTGGTAAAAATATCACTATGGCAATCACATTGTCTATCACCATTCAGTCAAATGTATCACAGGTAACAAGACACGTTGCCGTGGTAACCTTGCTACACGGTTGACTCCCGGTCAGGTCCTTCAAAGGTCTGTTTAAATGAGTCTTTGATTCTTTCTAACATTCCACAGGTGATGTATCCAAAAGATCTCTTGTACCACTCTGACGTTCGGCCTCTGTAAATATAATTAACACTTAAATAAAAAATAGCTTACAACCAAATTATGGTGACCCCAAGAATAATTCAAACACCTGACAATTAAAAAAAATTTTTTTTTGACCTATCATTTGCTGAATAAGAATGAGAATTTATTTATATAGAATTTGTAAAATTTTTATCAAATAAGAAGTCTTTATCTAAGCCACCAAGTAGAAGAGAACGCTCTTTGAAAGAGAGTATATCATGACTACTGGACAGTTAACTTGTGAATCAGTAACCAGACCTGAATCTTGAAAGCTAGTGATATTAATAACAATACTACAGGCTTTGGCAACAGAACTCCAGACTACATACCTGAGGTCTACCCTGGTGATGTGTGTTATACGTGACTTGCCGGTGCCACATGGTTCCATCAGAAAATGTGAAGCCAGCTCCACTGACCGAACACCTCCGAGCAGCTCTGCTTTTGGGTGCTCAACCGAAAATGACACCAGGCAACATGCACCTTTGGGAAGGTCTGTCCTCCAAGACCTTTAGAATCAAAACAGATGGAATTTATTCTCTTGTGAATGATCTTGTTTTAAACAAATAATTTGAAGTTTGAAAAGTATCTTACATTTAATTCTATTAGGGTAAAACCTGTCTAATACGACTCCTGAATATTGATATACAATAGAACAATATTTCTAACAAAAGTTATTAAAGAAGTCCTTTGTTGTAAAATCCTGCCTAACATAAGAAGATCTTCTCTTTTCTGAGTGCCTTGCCCCACTTGTATAAAACATCTTAACTTGAGATTTCCTCAAGTCGAGATTTTCCTCAGCTGACATCTCCTCAAAAACGGCTTGTATAAAATTTTCTCAAGGAACAGGAGGAAGGCATCAGCTAGGATGTCCTGAAATTCCTTGAGGAATTTTCATACAAGATATTTTCAAGGAGATATTAGCTGAGGAAAATCTCGACTTAAGGAAATCTCAAGTAGAGATGTTTTATACAAGTGGGGCCTGGTCGAGTATGCTTCACTATAGCAGTGACAAATATGTCAAACTGCGGCAGAATCATTATTTCTATAAGACATTTAATGGGAGGTAACTGACCTGAGGACAACAAAGTCTCGACTGGGGTGTGGTGGCATGGAATTACGAGAGTACTGGAACACATCAGTCTGTTGGTCAAGTTGCTCTATACATCTCCACTTCAGTAAATCCTCATCCCATTGTTGTCTTAACGACAAAAAAAATTCATAAATATCAACAGTTAAAATATATACTGGACTCAAACAATCACTGGTATTGTACCCAGTAATTCTCTCTATTCAAACAATAATTGGCAATATAGTTGTCCCTATTCAAATAAAAACTGCCATTATATTTGTACATTGGTTTTCGCCTGTTGGTTTTTTCCTTTTCAATACTTTTATTACCGTTTTAAAATCTCTGAATTTCTCAACAATTTATGATAATCTAAATTTGAAAAAAAAAATTGAATAGAAGGCTAAAACCTTATATCAGTAATACATACCTCTCATTCTTGAGCTTGTCCAAAACGACATCTGGAGGAGCTTCCACATCCACTTGAAACTTCCAAAGCCGCAATGGATGACCATCAGCAACTTTCTTGTAGGATACATCAATGCTATGACTACAGGATGTGGAAACCCAGCCACGAAATTTGTCATGAGATTCCTGTTTAGAAGAAATCGGTAAGTGATATCAAAACATTGTAGCAGACCAAACTGTGAATATAACTACATGTAGCAACAGCTTGATAAAATTCCTTAATATAAACTTTAAAATATAAACATAAATTTGGGTCCTGGTGATCAAATTTGGAGAAAATTAATGAGAAAACTTTACCTTTCATGAAAATGAAATTGACCACCACAGCTACAATATACACATTTAAATATTGATATTTTCACATTAACATCTCAATATAATTTCCTGTGAATCCTTACCTTCTGTAACCCCTGTATACACGTCTCCACATCAGACTGGTATCCGGGGGTATCCTCAGTCGACCTCATTGTATACTCCTCCATAGTAACAGGGTTACCCTGCTCTATGTAGGAGAACCGACACTTGTTCAACGTACTCGTAGATAACTGTAAATTCAGGACAAAGTTAATAACATTCTGATTTGTCTGGACATTTTCCGGTATTTAGAATCATATTCAAAATGTTTTTGAACTTTTTAGGTTCTAAAATTGATTACTAGTGCAAGTATTTCAGTCTTAATTCAATTCCATTCATCAAAATCATTAGATACATCTTATGGCAATTCTGTTTTCTTTGACACTGCATTGTTTCAATTAACATGTAACTTTCACTTTACTGATATCTAACACAGTATCCTGTATATGTATCCTTGCTTTCACTTTCCAAATACCTAACACAGTAACATTTTGATATATTTTTACTTTCATATTGCTAGCTAGCTGTACTTACTGTGAAGATCTTTTTACATTCCACGATCATTGTGGTGAGACACTCATGTGCAGCTTTCTGTTCCATTAGTTCACGGGTGTCAGGAACACCAAGATTTTTTCTAGGGCGTCGAGGACTGGGACTCTGACTTCCAATCTTGGAGCCTCCAACCATGAACAGTGAAGGTGCAAGACACACAGCCAAGTTACTCGCCGTCATCTATGTGAAAAAATAAAGATACATCTATCAGCTGTTATAGTAATTAGATAAATCTACCTGAAATGAATACTTCAAATTGTTACATATCTATGTGAAATTTGCTCTATCATACTTGATTAACACATGTAGTTGTGGCCCCTTACCTGGTGTTCTGATGCATGCTGGGAGATATCAGATAAGAAGAGGAGGAGGGATTCCAGTACCTCACGGTTCTCGTCAGGGAGGAGGAGAACAGATGACTGCAGAGCTTCAACCCTCTGGTCAGTAGGTAAGTCTGTGGACAGAAAACATTTTATTTTATATTTCATTCATATCTAATAAAAAAAACTACAAACGAAATTTCTTTATACCTGTTCCTTTTATCACATTGTTTTACACAAAAATAGAAAATAAAAAAATCAGCTGGTTCTGATTTTTTGGCATCAATACAAAGTGCAGCTTATGAAGAAAACACACCTTTACAAGGAATATTTAAAAGTTGAAGTATGAAAATAGCTATTGCTCTGCAACTCATTTACATTGCCATGTTTCTAAGAATAACTGTAACAAGTCTTAAGTGTGACTGAAACTGACAATATCAAACACAAGAAAATTTTGACTTACAGATGAAGATGTTTATAAAGATCTCAGAGAGCTTGTTGGTAAGAAGACACTCAGGGAGGTCTCGGAAATACTGTTTCAGGAGATCAGCAACATCATAGTCCTGCACATCTTCAAAACACACCATTTCTGTGGAGAAAAATAAAATTACTTTCAATGGGTATGACAAACAAAATTAAAGTTCATATTTTTTTTCACTCAAATAGGATGTGTGGCCTATTTTTAATATTTTTCCTTTATATAACACTTCTATAGTCATCTTTCAAACTTTTCGCCTTATTCATAATCTTTCTACCTCGTGTCATTATCATAATACATCTCAGACCTATAGCATATAAATAAGCATGTTCTTCATAAGAGTTGCTTCCCTTGGATAGTGCTTTTTAATAAATATATTTTAGACCTCAATAAATAAGTATGTATACTGCATCAGTGTCTATATCTGATATCCTACTTTTAAACAATCATTCACTCATCAACAATTTGGAGACATCACAAGAACACTGCTTACAAAATAGTTCCAGAATTAATTAAATTCTTTATAAAAAAAAAATACACAAAAAATGATACGAATATATATATATGCATAATATATATATCAACCCAAGTTTATACTATATATCTTGCAAAATCTGACTATATATGCCGGCTACAGCATTTGGGGCAACAGTACTGGTCACAGGTGTGTTTAACAGCTGGTGCCGTCCACACCCATGATAATATCATACATATTACCTACAGCCTATATATACTTATTGATTGGAGTGGCTATAAATGTTGCAAAAATCAATATCTTCCTGAACCAAAGAAAATAAACTGGATTCACCTTTGTGACAAACAAATACAGGTTTGAAATTACTTTCTAACTTGTAGATAAATAATCACCTAAAACAGTATCACTACCATCATAACTTCTAAGATTTTACACGAAATAAATAAAATATTAGTAAGATTAAAATCAGCTATGAGTAGATATACAAGAAAACTGAGTGGGGGAAAAAAAGAAAAAAAAAAAGACTGCATCTTTTAACTTTGGCCTTCAGACTTTCAAACTTCCCTTTTTATTTTCAAATTCACTTTACTGTATAATATTTTCTTTTTTTAAACATACCTGGATTTGCCTCAAGTTCGTTTTTCAGTTTCTGAATACGTGACCTAACACCAGGTTTTCGGAAGATGCCAACAGCTTCTGGAGAAGTTTTGCGGAGGTAGCGCATTGCGTGGAGTATACATTGGGGGAGGGGCTGCCCTGTTCTCTGTAGAGTCACTAACAGAGGCACGCCAAAAACCACCTTGTCCTTGTAGTCAGGCACTTTGTGCCTCTTCATGAAGCGAGGGACCGTCCAGTTCCAGCCAGGCCGGTTTGGAGAGTATTTTTCTATGAGTGCTGTGAGTTTGATGAGTGAAAGTTTCTGTAAGACCATCAGTTGACAGATGGATAGACAAGTTAACTGAATGTTTTCATTTCCATAACTGGGTCGATGTGACTTTTGAAAACTATGCCAGCGTATCCGATATCGTCTCCGGTCACTGTAAAGGAAATGATAATCAAATTTATTGAATAAGATGGTTTATTAACTATTCAAAACTAAAGAGGCATATAAAAATAACAAAATTCAAGAATATTCACTAATATATAACTAATTCTGAAATCTTATTACATCACATGGGGATTGAAAAATCTTGAGCTTACCTAGGCGTTCGTGTGAGGGAAGAGCCAACCCCAGAGTCCCGCCTCTCTCGGTAGATGACTTGTTCTGTGGAATCATCATGGGACATGTCTTCACATGGAATGTCATGATCACTGCTCTCTGGTGAGGACACTGTACCACTTGTGACATCATTGTCAGGGTCAAAGTCACTGGAATTGATGCCACTGTTGACCTGGCTATCCTCAAGGTCAAGGCTGGTGAGATTTAAACTAGTTTGGAGTGAAGGAGGGAGTTCTACATCAGCTGAAAATAAAAAGACCAAACGGTTACCAAGATAAATATACAGAGGGTGGAGGTCATAAGGTCATCAAATATATATATACTTGTCAGGTTACCATGCCTATGATTTTTTAATTCTGACGTTACATGAGAAAGTACATTTACAATGTCAGACAATAGACCATTTTATTCTCTGAAAATGTTGGGGTCATCTTGGTGCAAGCAGATTGCATGATAATAAAGCATGACAATCATACATTTTTTCCACACCAAGGAAATCTTTCAACACTTTCTTGAACTTTATCCTTGTAAACTGATCAGAGGACAGGTCAACTTAGTGCTGTAACCAATTATATCTTAACACCTGAAAGAGTTACATGTAACTACCAAAAACGGTCTCAACAGGACCTTACTGAGTAGATGTTTTACCAAATGTGACTTGATCATCATGGTAGACTGGATTTGGGGACAACGCCCAGTAACATGCTTAAGTACGGGATCACAAGGGGCTAAGACATGCAGAAGGGATGGGTCACATATCCTGTACATGTACACTATGGCTATTAGGTCCCATTATCATGTCAACATGGTGACCATATTTAACCTTTGTAAAATAACATGTCGAATAAAAGCCATAAAAAGGTACAGATTTATAATTCATTACCTACTACAAACTATTCAAAAGAAATTTTGAAAATTATGTTTCTAATTATTCTGGTTTTTAAGTTCATTGATAAATAAAACAAAATCCTATTTGCAAGTAGTTAAAATTACTGGATGTCGAAAATACAGAAACATTTCAATAATTTTAATGTGTGACAAGGGATAGTGATGAGTTGGAGTATGCACGATATCTGAATTAATGACATTACAATTTTATAAGTCCAGATATAGTTGTATTTGTTTGCCATGACAAAGAATTTTTCACACTCGAGTATAATAAACAGAGTCATAGTCAGTTATCAACTTATCCAATCATTTCCGATAACAATAATACTTGAAACAAGTGGCCACTTTCACCATTCAGGCATCAGACACATACTTCTTATGTGTCTTTTCGGAGAAGCCAGTTAAATATGTCGAGGAGTAAGAGAAAACACAGGAGGAATTGGAGTGCTCCTCACAATTAAATGTGAATGGGACAGATTGTGATTGTATGACACATTGAATTGTTATCCTTGCTATCTATGTTTTGTCTATGTTAACACAATGAACTGTTATCCTTGCTATCTATGTTTTATCTATGTTAAAATATGTATAGAAAGAAAATGATCACTGTGAATTCCTAAATTCTGAGAAAACCTAGTCATCTCTTTGAAAAAATGTAATCATATATTGAATTTGTGACATGTCATATGGGTTCTAGAGGACAGAAGGTGCCTATACTATTTAGAAAGGTCAATGAGGTCACCAAAACGAAGATTTACACCTGGTTTTATTGCCTTTCTTATCTACAAGTAGGTCACTTTCATGTGTGTCTTATCTAGCAAAACAATATGTGATCAAAGCTAAATTGAAGATTCAAGATAAATGCCATCAACAGGGTTGGGAAATAGGTCAACTTGAAAACTGTAGCGTTGAATCAGCAAATTATCCAAATATGCTAATTAACGTAATAAGGAGGTTAAAAATGTGACAAAAGTTGTTTAATCAACTAGAAAAGCCAAGTTGTTAGAAATCTAGGAGTCCTTTTTTTCGTGTTTTATAAAAATAACATTGAGTACGTGTATGTATGTAATTGCAGAATACAACACTGAAGTACAGCTAGCGTGACATACACAATACACTAAAATCCAACAGGTTCACACACTACAACAACTCTATAGTTATCAGCGACCGATATTTACTTAAACACCTAAACACCTCAGCTCATGCAAAATACAGATTAAAATTCTGCTGAATGGTTCACACCAGGACGATATCCTGAATGACTTTTCTGCCTACTTTTTTAGTGTCTAGCCTGTGAATGGCTGATAAATCACATTAGCTTACACACACATATAACTTGTCAGAGTGTTTTAATCAGAACTGTAGAAGACATGAACAAGTATTTACTGACTGTATAATCCAACTGTCCCATTTTTTTTTTTTTGCTAAATGTAATAGCTAAACTTTTTGAGCAAGCTTTTTTTTCAAAATTGAATCTAATGTGCATGAATTGAGAAATTGGCAGTTACAAAAGTTCTCCTAGATGTATAATATAATGAAAATAAATGGGTCTTTTGATATAAGAAGGGAGGTAACTCCATGAAAAATGAATGCCAAACAACATGTCTTTCTCAAATTTTTTCTTATCCACTTCAAGGTTATAAGAGTACAACTAATGACAGTTCTTATGATGTGCCGTCATATTTGTGAAAATTGATTTTACCTGAATTTTTATATCAACCAAGAAAGGTCATGATAATAAATAAAAATCAATTAACACATAGCACTTGGGTAACAGATAAGTGGAGCTACACTTAGTAATCTTATACATTACTGCAGCAAAAAAACAACATCAAAAATTATTTGGAGTTTATATTGTCAATGCATCACATCAATCTGCCAAATTTGGAATAGCCTTTCATGCTGTTCACAAGAAAAACTAAAAAAAAAAAAAACATTTATGTGTCACCAGCAAAATTATTTACTTAACCAAAAAACATGGTTTCATCTAAATGATGTCATTAACCTTGAAAGTATAACTCGTGATTCTGTGTGTGTTTACAAACTAAATCTTACTCCTTTGATATCTTGTACAGTAGAAAGATATTCAGAAATTAGCATTTCTATAGCCCCTCTGCAAGGTGAAGGGGGAGGTTATGGGGCTGTGTGAAACAACATCAGATAGACTGGATCTGTTAAATCCAAATACAGAACACAAAGGAGGCAGATGAAACAAAAATAATTTAAATCAAGACTTTGATTTCATCATCTACATCTTAACCTGGACACTGAAAACTAAGAGTTAAAAGTGTGTCATTTCTATTTGCTTATTCAATAATTTTGGAAGGGACACAAACATCTCAAACAAGGGTTAAATATCTACAGTAATAAAAAAAATGAAAATAAATCTATGAATAAAAAAATCAAAGATGGCAGCCATGCATCTTTTGGGCTCACGTTTACAAATGGGTCAGATTTGTGTCATATTAATTGCCTAGAAAATGAAAAAAGAGAAACAAAAGTGTATTCTACTTATAAAGAATGATAAAATAAAGATTTTTGAAATTAAATGAAAATTAAATCAATATTAACTCAAAACTATACATAAATGACTCTAAATCAAATGAAAATTTTAACTACCTAACTAAAAGAATGAGTTTGATAAAACAGTTCTTTAAAGACAAATCAAGGAAAACATTCTCAATCTAAAATGCTTGAAAATGTTATAACAAAACAAAATGCAATATTATACAATGATTCTCATCAGCAATTAGTTTCTCACAAGTTTGATTTTTATATCAACATTATCATTTCACTACCATGTAACACGCACACATACTTACATTACATTTAAATTTGTTACATTGTGAATAAATAAACTCATTGATTTAAACTCAAAGACAACAAACGTTTTATTAGGTATACCTACCAGCATCTTCTCCATAGATGGCTTTGTTCAAGCCATTAATATCTTGAAACAGTCGATGGAGAATCAGATCAAGTTCCTTCTGTGTTGACTGTAGGTCTTCTTCCTCTTTCACATTGTCATAGTAACTGGTTCGATGTCCAGCCAGTCTTGGGTCAGCTGAACCTCGCCGTCTGACCACTGGTGTACAAGAGTCCGAACTGCTTAACTTATCTCTACCCAAATTACAACTACCCGTCCGGTGCTTTACACCATGTCCACTATAGCTAGAACTCAGCTCTTTAGGAAATCGTCCTGGTCGATTTAGCGGCAATTCATAATTATTACCGTCTGTTAAATTGTTTTCGCTGTGGTTTCTCCGCACTGAGAAATGTTTTCTTGGTGAACTCCCAAGTAAAGGTTCATCACTATCCATACTTGAAGTCGAAAATGTTGATGTCGTCTGCAAAACGCTTTCAATATCTGAGAGCTCCTGCAGTGACAATGACCCTGATGGGGTCTTGACATTAGCATTTGGCACCTTGTAGTTGGTTGTTTCATCTGACCATGGCTCTGGAGATGTTGGAGTTACATCCCCTGAATTCATCATTGCTGTTTCCCGGTCTAATCCACTTTCTGGAGAACTTGGTCCATTTTCTGAAGAAGGACTCAAGTCTTTACAATTTAAATGCTTTATTTTTTCCTTCATATTTGCACTGTCCATGATCACAGGTTCACTAATTTCCACGGCGGTTCCATTCTTGTTTCCAATGCGTTTTGTTTTCCGATTATTTTTCAAGCTCTCGACTCGCTTGAGGAAGTTTTTAGCACCTTTGATTCTTTCACTGGCTGCTCGTCTCAAACTTGGACTTGTCACTGACGATGACATACTGTCCTTGTTATTTATAGGTGTTGACGTCTTCACCCCAAAGTAGTCATCATTGGTTTGACCTTTGGTATGATAGACCTTGGTGTCCAGAACAGGACTGTTATCTGTTTCACTGTTACTGTTCTGATCAGTCAAGAGACTGTCATTACTGGAGCTGGATTTTACCAGCGTGTTCTGGTCTTCAGAGGTTGGGCTGTTAAAGTCCTTCCTTGACCAACGTCGAATATTGTATTGGTACTTCCATTTATCACTCAAGGCGCATTGGTCCTCGTCGTCAGAATCTTCACCCTGAAATTAACAAATGAAAGAGGTCATGTCTTATGCCTACTTCAGAAAATAAGCTTCCCCTTGTAATTTTCAAATTATTTTCTTTTTAACATCAGGTGAAAAAAAAAGATTCAGACATACATGTAAACAGAACATCCCATTTCTGCTGACAAAATCTGCATCATACAAATTATTTTTTCCCTAACTTGATGATTCACACTTACAGAAAACAGGCCTTTAATCCTTCAAATTAAATTCACAACCTACATAGTGAAACAGTAAGACCTTATGTAAACTATACAGGTCTCCGAAGATTTTGGCAGGAATCTAGAAACGGAAGGTCAGCTTTATTTCCCAACAGGGGGTGCACCCCAAACCCATCTTATACTTCTAGCCGTTTCCTGTAGTACTTGTATCTTGTCCAGGGAATACCTCCAAACTGTACATCTTGTGTGTAAACAATCACATTAATTAACTTCAACAGGAGATCTGATGATATTCCAGAAGAGCGAGGTAAACTCCAATGAAAATTGTAGTATATAGTTTTTACAGGTGTCAGTCTACATCACGATACACTTAAGACAGGTCAAGAGGATTTTTTTTTATTTTGTAAATGATTTTATCTGTCGCCCCCTGGTCTACTAGTATCCTGCAAAGCTCCAAAAGGGGGAGATAAATGGTAGGTGCTGATCAAGGTCTAAAAAACTGATAATAAGCACTGTAGTAGCGGAAGCTTTGCCTACTGAGTGGCAGATAAGGCACCTCCCACATCCATAGCCTCCCATCACCATGTAGTCGTTGTTTATGGTTCACGACTGTGGTCCTAATACCCTTCAACTACCTGCTCATAGCTGTGGTTGACCGAGTAGCCAGAATCTACCACAATATTTCACCAATATTATAATCTCTTTCATGATGGCTCGAAGGTCCATCCATCACACAGTAGGTTTGTATCCTATGTGTCTGTGATTACAGACAGAAATCCATCTATATAGCTAAATGCATTGACATCCATAGCAGCAATAGGCACCATCAAAATTACCAATAATCCACAGCTGACCTTTAGATATTTTGTATATATTTGATAAACCATACTCCAGCTGTTTTGATAAATGTCACAATCGTTTAAATAACAATGGATAATTCCTGTACACAATATATATAAGCACCTCTAGTTAATGTGTATATAATGAGAGCTTGTTTATGATTAACTAGTACCGAAATATTCTAACAATTTTTCTCTGAAACCTAATACATTTTATATATACAACGTACAAGGACATTAAAAAAAAATTCCAGAGAGACCAAGAAATCAATTAAATAACTAAAACGATACCAATGTTGTCATGGAAATTGCTTCAGGAGATGCACAAACAAGATGGAGGACATTATATCTCACCTTTATGTGACTATAACATCGCTGATAAAGTGCAACATCTGTTGTGTCCTTAAATGAATCCTTAATTCTCTAACATCCTAACATTGAGAAAACGACAACATCCTTCACACATGATACCTATATACATGATAAGTTAAGACCGAGTTGATATTTTTCCAAAGGTAAGATCACAAACAGCAATACAGTGCCACGATTCATCACGATATATTGATCCTCCTTTACATCTGGCTGAGCTAATCCCTCAAAGTGATTCAACTGGATTAGATCCCAAAGAATATGCCAGTCGTTCACCTTTAGGTAACGTAATTATCATATCACACAAACTGATTCTCTAGTCATCTTTTGTAGAAATTGCTTCAAACCTCGAAAAACACCCACAATAATTCAGTGGATATTTAGTCGCTCTGTTACAAGGTAATTGTAATGGGGACAGAAGTCCTACAATCTAGGACAGTCGTAGCCCATAGAAAATATGTTATTTATGCCTACTGCCGAGGTAAACAGAAAATTCAATAATGTGACAGCGCGGGCTTAATACAACGTTCATATTAAATGTAAATCTAATTCTGCGACAATCACTGACTGTAGCAGAAATGGCTATATAGCCATGTGCAGGTAAGGTTACATGGTCATAGGACGTTTTCCAGTTATTACACAAGGAAAAGTGCCTCATTCCCAGTACTATAAATAGGATGAATACTTTACTTTGTAAACAGTGACAAATAAAACTGTCTGTAGACTTTTTTTCTCGATGGTATAACTAGAAGACAGACTTAGTTTTATGTAAACAGACATTCACCTCCTGCGGTATCATCAAGTCTTTAAAAATAAATATTAGCAATTGAAGTCTGAAGATGGTAGAAAAAGGCGCTTTTATGAACAGCAAGGTTCTTCAAATACATACATAATATGCCTTACTTTAATATGTTACAAGAGAGCATTTTTGAATGAGCACAAATATATTTTCAGTTTTCATATATAAAGTAGCAATGAATACAAGACTGTTGAATACTTCACAGACCTAATCCCATTATGCCCAACTCTCTACAACAATATGTTAAGGACTTATTCGACAATTATATTATGTTGAGAATATCTGAAAAACATCAATGAAAAAATGTACCTCGATTAAAAGATGATAAAAAAAAGTGCACTGAGTGTAATAGGCCTAGTCCTAAGAAACAACAATAAGGCTGGCCAGATCTGATTCAGAAACACAAATATCGCAAATCATGTTTACATCACACCAACACAGGTCAACTACCATCACAGGTCAAAAGATAATTAATTATTGTCACCCTACCAGTGAATCTTACAACCATTCACACCTAACAAACCCACACTGTGTCCCGGCCTTCTTGACAAGTTTGGATGGGTTTCAGAACCTCCTGACATTTTACTTTCCATACCTAATGAGGTCCTTCACCCTTTGTACTAAAAGCTTCCCAGCCTCAACAATGGTCAGATACCTGTCAAAGTTAACCTGTCCACAGAAGTCATACAACCACATCCATGTCAAAAGATTTCTAGGATGACACGACACACAAACCACACATCATGAATATACAATTCTTCCATGATAGCAAACAGGTTAATGGTCAATGTATGTATTATATTGAGAAATGACTTCTGAAACTTCTTACCTGTAGACACAAGTACAATATCAGGTGTACCATCCCTTCAGCTTTATAAACAATCCTTATAACAAAATTTCCTTTTCACACATATATGATGTGTAGTGATCTTCTGTGAAAATTCAAGTTAATGTCAAAAATCACTGATATCCATTAAAAACAGTGAAATCACCTTTCTTAACAGGTTTTGATCATAACAGTGTAATTTTTAGAGAGGTGACTGACTTCTCTGTCACAGTATTGCTTCTTGCCTTGTCTCCACCTTCTCTTTCGACAACAGTCTATATCACATATAGTCCATATACACCACAACACTAATCAAAATTTTAAACAATTTACAGTTAAATACTGAAATTCAAGAAAAAAACTAACTCTTCTTGCTATGCCTTAAGTCTTTATACGGTGAGCCCATGTGAGGTCTATGGGATCTGTCCTTATGAACCATCGTGGTCTATCAGAGACTTCAAAATAATAGGTCAGTAACTCCCCCACCCCCGTATAACTTTTCGGACGTTTTAACCGTGACCATAATTTGCTGCTGTCACACTCATACTTATAACAACTGCCTATTTACACGCGTGTCAAATCAGCCAATAGTATTTTTTCCTTTCACAGTCTGTGCTCTCAGTAGTAAACAAATAATAAGGAGGGTGGAGCGTAAGGTATGCTTTCCTCTATACAATTCAATATACCATTCAGGTCCATTTTTTTTTCAAGTGTGAAGGATGAACTTAGGTCAAGCAATAAGTGATATCTGATACAAATCACAAGCATTTCATTTTTTTTTCAATATCTGTGACCCATGACTGTGTTAAATTAAATTGTTAACCCTGTCCATTCACAACTATCTCTGTATTTGTGAATGAAACTGTGGACGTTAACAGAATTGAGGACAAACACATTAGAATGAAGCCCTCCAATTGGCCCAGTGGTTATTATGCTGTTCTCTCTTATCTATTACACAGATACTATGATCATTAAGCTATCTGTTACAGAGATCCAAACCAATTTACAATAGTTCTACAAAGTTCAATTGCTATGGTCATGCGAAGTAGGTATTTTGTGAAATGTAAGCTGGGTACATGGACTGATCGTGATACTTACCCCTTTTTTAGTAGTTGGGGTGCTCACTCGCATTATTGCACACTTGTTTAGGGTATTCAGCCTCCTGCAAAGACACACAAATAAAGTATTATTAAAGATATATACATACATTTAACTTAGAAAAGTCAAACCTCATTAACTCTCTGTGTAAGTGGATATCCAGTTGAGTTTGAGGCAACATTACGTACCAGAAGAAGACAACTGTAGTTGAACCAGACCATAACTTGTTCCTCCAGGGACCTCCAATCTTTGACATTTTTGTCAATGACGTACCTGAATACCAGTACATCACCCTAAAACCTTTCCTGCTATACATCTTCATCAAATTATCTGATTCTTAGGACTGCAAGAATCAAAGTCTGATTCAGGCATCAAGTCTTTACCATTGTGAAATAATTCAGGTAAAATGACCTCTAGATGGCTTTTTCAAGGTCACATTCAATGTTAAAATACATCATATCCACATAAATATTAAGAGACAATGTACGTAATTTACATAGTGCATCAAATTAACATACATATTGACATATATTTAGTATGTGTACTGAAGCGCCCCGACAATCACTTTTGTTTTAATGCGTCACCTTTGCATACAAAAACTGCAGGCTAAGAAACATAATCATCATTACAGAAATATGAATACCACATAACATTTCTTAAACAGTATAAACCTGATCTGCAGTGACATTAGCGATATATTTTTCTAAGCAGTTAAACTTTAAGAGACACAAGCCTTCCTAGCTGATACAAGTACACATGATTGCATCCTATGTTTTTCATGTACATTAAAGATGCTTGTTGTCCATAATCAAAAACGTTATCGCAATGACCAGCCTCAACTTACAAATTGGCTAGAGAGATTTTCCCACAAGATTAACTGAATGCAAGTGTAATAAGTTAGAGGTCCTGGGTTCAAATCCTAATGAAGGCATTTGAGTAAATAATAAATTCTTTTGTACAAGATGTTAGAAGACCTACAACATCCATTAAATAATCCACCTAACCTTAATATGAATTAATTAAAACAATACCATGTATAAATTTCAAGTTCTATATATATATTTTCTATATATTGTGAATGTCTTTCAGTCTTAAAAACAATTTTCTTCAAAGTGCTAATGCTACACAGAATTTTATTTATACATCCTTCGATCTCTAAAACTTGAACTGAACTAAGAGCCTTCATGTATAGCTTAGATGAGGTTGACAATAATTTAACACGTTATTACTCAAAATGCCAAGGCATCTATACTTTTAAATGGCAGGTAAATGCTGTAATTCATTCATCTGATAGCTTTAAAATGTCATCAAAACACAGGTACTGATATCATATCAAAACTAATTAAAATCCCATTAACCTAGGCTGTACATGAATAATAACTCCTTTATTTAAAGTCAACGACCTGTTGAGTCATTCTATAATTAGAAGTGTTTGGTGATACATTTAATTCATGACATGGTGCTTGATGTTGTTCCAGTAACACTTATGTGTGTTAAAAATAACAATTATCTATTAAAAGTGGAAATTTCTTATAAAGTGTTCTTACTAAATATACATAACTATGTAATAACTAAATATACACCTACAAGAATCATGAGTTTTTTTATTTTTACTTTTTTCATGATGTTCAACCTAATAAAGACTAAAACAAAATTGATTATAACCTGAACACTCATGTAATTAACTCACTTATCAAATAAACCTATTTGAAGACAAGGTCTGTATAATATAGAATTATAATTTAGAAATGAAATTTGTCTTTATTTCACATTCTGTACATGACAATCTATTAAAGATTAACATTTATGAAGGGTAAAAATCATTTGGCTAATATTGATAACAGAAAGAAAACCATGATTACAGCTTAGCAAATCAATCTTTGATCTTATGATAAAAAATGATTCAGAAAGTATCCTTTTACCAAACTTACAGGTTAGTAACACAGGAGAACAGTATATCCAACATGTTGATGTGTCTTTTTTCCATCACTGATAGCCTTTGTCGTACCTCACATTAGTTATATACAATTCCTCTAGACTGCCATCTGTTGAGTTTATATAAACCCAAGCTATTTGTAGAGATCAATGTTTCTGTAGTATGTTACAATAATAATTTCTCTAAGTTCAGGCTTGGCTCTAATATCCTCTATCACAGTACTATCAACACAGCTCCATCTGCCAGTGCTGTTGTAAATCTCAGGTATATATGTTCAAATAATTTCTGTGGTGATTTCCCCAGTCTGGACACTGGTCACTCTAATTGACCAAATAAATGGTCACCTACTATCATTTTTTACCTGAGCAAGGTGAAAACAAAACCTGTCTATCATCACACAATAGAGTGATGGGATACATCATTAGGCCTATTGTCTGAGGTGTGATAAGGCTTTGTGTGGCCCTGAAGGGTCTCAGTTGTAATCCCCACTGCCAGGTATAGAGATTAATGGATCCCTTTGACCCCTAAACAAAGGGGGGTTGAAACTGTACAGTTTTCCAGGTAAAATATGTAGTTTTACACCTGTGAATGGACAGTGGTCAAACAGGTAGCACCTACTAAATCTTTCATACACTGGACACTGGGGAAAAATTCACAGGACATCAAAAGAGTTGTATTATGATGACTGTCATGAAATCCAATATGTTTGTATACACTTACCTGATACCTGATGGGAAGGTCTTACTGACCTCACACCTGTTAAACCCATGATATCAAGCCAAACACCTATCTTCATCTATGTTTTGATATCAATATCACAATTAATCCACCATAACTCGAAATAGCTATAAACCACATAAAATAAGTGAAAAATATGGCTTTGATCAATTACAAACCAAACAAACTTAAGGTATACAGTCTTAATCATAATCCTTGCTTCACAGTGATTCCCTTGATGTCATTCAATGCCCAAATCCAAGTATCTATCATTTTTCATATCTTGATGCTTTTTAAATTTTTACACACAATTCATAATATTTTTAGCTGTACTAGATGAATCAATTTTGCTGTCTCTTTTTCTTTTGAACATACTTTAATTTTGATTATGGTTTTTTTTTGTTCACTCAATCTCAGCTAATTAGTTAAATAATGATTAAATTGTATCCTTGTTTTAAAAAGTACCTTAGTTATAAATTCAGTCACTTTGGTGTTCTTCACCAATACAATTTCAACCAAACCAGAAAAAAATCTTAAATTATCTACTATAGGTAAATATTTACAATCAAAATAACATACAACCAAATAAAATGTACCAGACCACCTATGAAGATATATTACATACCATGTCCATGGTGATCTAGTCAAGCCTTACAGTGACAATGATAATTCTGAACACAAGCACAAGAGCCATGTGGGGTGAGTGAATCACTGGTGACAATAACAGAATCCTCAATAGGCCTGTGTATAATGATATAGATACTCGTGATCATCACTTCCTATTTCTCGTTTCCTATTTCTCCCTTCTGTGATACTAGGTAACAGGTGCCCCTTCGTAGGGCAAAGAGCCACTACATAAGAACTTAAAAACAAATTGCGTGCAAGGAAAATACCAGAAATCATTCATCTGCACTTAATAACACATAATTGTACATATGTAGATTTGTTCTTTAACACTTCTCTTCAACTTAACCAAAATCTATGGCTGATTTGCATAATGACAAGGCAGTATTACATTGTAAGCGATACACACAGGAAATATTGTTCTTTTTAAAAATGTGATTGATGTGTGGTATTTCAGAGATTTACCAGTACAATTTTTCTGTGAACTATATCGATTCCTATTTCTTTTAAGCACAGAATGACTCATGCAGAAAATAGTGTAGGTTAATTATTCCATTAATGATTCATCAAAACATGAATTAAAAAAGAAAATTATCTAACATGTTATACTGTTGAATACCAATCAAATCCAATGAACTCTCTGTATAAAAAGTTGAATTCCTTTGTATGAATTTGATTAACAAGAATTATTAAGCATGAGAAATCAGCTTCAATAATACATTAAAAAATAATTTTAATAAATCTGGTCTCACAAGATGAGAATATTTGATGATTATACCGCTGTCATGGCAACAGGATTCTGGCACTTGCAGAAAATGTCAATCCCATTAATGAAACTATAGCTAGCGACCCATATCAGATTGAGTTACCATGGTGATCCATCATCCACACAACACCGGATATTATTTATGAAAATGAAAGGAAATATTGGTGTTTATACTCTCCTAGTACTGATTACCTGACAGAAGTATATCAACCTATTGGTACATTACATATGTGTTAAAAGTGTCTTCTAGCATCAAACCCAGAGAACTATATATCTTCCATCATATTCTGAAATTTGTAACAGAATTTTTTGTTTAAACTTGCAATCATTACAAATGAGGGCCTGGATTGATAAAGATAACCACCATATAGAGTCACATCTGTATCATCTGTACCTGAGAAACCACCTGTCTAGATTTAACTCCTTTCTTATCCTTACTGTTGTTTACCACCTGATTAAAGAGACCATTTGTCTACCACCTGTCTAAAGAGACCATTTGTCTACCACCTGTCTAAAGAGACCATTTGTCTACCACTTGTCTAAAAAGACCAGTTGTCTACCACTTGTCTAAAGAGACCATTTGTCTACCACCTGTCTAAAGAGACCATTTGTCTACCACCTGTCTAAAGAGACCATTTGTCTACCACTTGTCTAAAATGACCATTTGTCTACCACTTGTCTAAAAAGACCATTGGTCTATATCTAATTGATGCAAGTATAATTACCAGCTGTATAAAGAGATCACAAATATATGTTTGATACCTGTATCTATAGTTATAATCTGTCTAAATAGATACTTTGTGTATAATACATACTTGTCTACATCATAACTACCAACTGTCTAAAGAGACCATATGTCTACATTTCATACTTGTCTATAATTAAATGTATAAAGAGACCATCTGTCTAAAATTACCACCTGTGTAAAGAGACCATCAGTCTACATTTGAAACATGTTTCTATAAACACCAGTGTTTTACAGTGATACCTGTGTATAGTAACCACCTGTATATGAAGGAATTTTCCATTCACAGAGAAAACATGAGTCTAATGTTATACTTCTAACCATCCTTTCTCTGTAATATGGAAAAGTAATGTATATCTCCATCAGAATCACTCTGTGTGATTAGTTAAGAAACAAGAAATAAATCTTGTCATTGGCTAAAAACAGATGGAGAAACACTTATCTATTGGTTAGAGTATATTTTTCAAACAAATAACTTACCAATATCTTCTAATTGTTTCAATAAATAGCAATCAATAATTGAAATTTTAGAAGGAAATATATTCTGCTTCTCCAATACTTCACAGTGGTTCTTTCAAGTGTTTTACTGCTACTAAACTGAATGACACAGATAGCTATGAACTATTTACCTTTTTTATGCAAGTTCACTATGAGTAATGATGTCAAACACACAAGAGGGAAGATTTTTGAGTTTCACCACAAATATGTCTGATCCAGTAATTGAGGGTTATGTCACAATTTACAAAACCACAAAAGGGGGAGGTAACCCCTCACCACAAATAACAACAATTTCAAATGTATACAAATCTTAATGTACTTGTGCAACAAAACAGTTAGAGTGACTCAGGTAAAATCTAAACTTCTTTTGATGCAGTCAGGTAACACCAGAAAACCTTCAGCTGGCGTGGAACATTTGTCAACAATACCACTATGCACTGCACCATACTAACATACACAAGCCACAAAAATACACACCAGTTACCTGATCCAGAAAACCATTTAATGCTCAATTAAACAAGAAAAATATAAAATATCATTGTAAGAAAGAAATTTTAATTCATGTCTGTAGGATTTTTTAAAAGAAATTGTTGATAGCCAATCTGATGGGAGATAACATATGATATCATCACAGCCAATCAGAATATTGTACCAAAACCACTCCTGTTATACCTAGAGGGGACCTGATTTTGTCAACATGACAGTTGACACTCCTCCTAAGTAGGTCAATGTGGAGTTTGAAAAAAGTAAGACCAGCAAAAAGTAGAGACCAGACTGTAAAATAGTCGGACAAGTCTAATACATTTTGTTATTTTTTTTGGCAAATAAGAAATCCATCAAAAACCTGTAATCTTTGTAAGATTAGCAGGTTTTGTGAAATATTGCCATATAATCAGATACTTCTGTGCATATATACACATTAATTTACTTTTATATGATGAAATTTGAGAGACAACGAAAAAAAAAAAAATATGTTAAAAGATTTTTGTTTCGACCAAGCCAATCTTTATTTTAAATTTAACCCTGACTGTAATCTATATAACACTACTTCTTTTGTATTCACAGTAGTTTTTGCAAATGAGAACAATCAGTCATTGACAACAATCACCAGGAAAACTGCTTTCAGACCTTAAAGAGACTATTGTGAAAGTAAGACTCATGTTAACAAAGCTTCAAAGTTGTTAAGTGTCACATCACCAAATATGGGCATTTGCTCAATTAAACATAATTTCCTGTAATATTCTCAAATGTCTAGTAATCAATTTCATGTTAAAGGTGTGTCTCAGTTCAACTGATTTCCTGAACACAATGTCTTTTTATTTGATAACAGATTACTGTCTTTGTATTCATAGTTCATATAACTGTCAGATTTCTTTTTTTAACACCAAACCCCTCATGTGGTTTACACATTTTTAGTCTGAATTTACGAATGCTATATATATAATTTCAACCTGCATATGAGTTATAGACGTGTCCTGTTGATCTCAACTTTGATAATGAATGTGATGTTGTTTACTTTTGAATATTTCCCAAGTAATTTTGGAACATAAGGCCAACATTCTACCCAATATCAGAAAATATACCATATTTGTTTATATGAGAGCCCAATTATTCATAAGAACAGATCAAATCTTATCAAGTGAGGTCAATTATTAAAAACAAATACAGTATCTCTATATATTTGTAGAAATGTTTATTAATCTTCATCCTCATATCATTTCTTCCTCTTTCCTCTGATGTTTGTATAATATCTTTGTCAATATTTTTTAATTGTTTTTCCTTTTATAAACTTGTATTGATGTTGTTTCACAAGGTAGCTTCTTTTTGTGCCATGGAAGGTTGATGAGAAGACATTTTAACACTGGTACACTCCATATACTTTTATAATATACGATATAGTGAACAGAATAAAGCAATTTGACAATATCTTACTGTATTAAGGATTCTTAACTTACCTAACTAGAGGCTGCAGAGAGTCCTTCTCCAAGAAGTCATGTTCTTTTTCTACTGAAGCGATGTTCACAGGAAAATGACCATCTGTAAAAACAAATCAATGATAAATCACTAGCAACATCTTATCAAATCTATATATCCATATCACAAACACATTTTATAATTACTTATTCCATCATGTCAAAACAATCTGAGATATGGGAAATATAATACTTATTTCTTTGTAAAGGGATTGTTTATAAATGTGATTAAGAAAATGGCAGACAATTTGCACTCACTTGATTCATGTAGTGTATTTATCAACATTATCAACACGAACGTGTAAGACTTTGATGAATTCAATGCTATAGATTCACAACGTTTCTTCCAGAAATCTGTGAAATTCAATACAACACCTCACACACTTATCTTCTGATTTATTGAAATCATATGCAGTAAAAGAAAACGCCTATTTATAATTAGATGAATTGGACAAGCAAACCTTGAAACTACCAATAACCTTCCAGCTTTAATGTTCTGCTCATCCCTAGTAAAAAAAAGCCATGAAAGTTGTGGGCATGTTGTTCTGTAATATCATCCTACGTAGGCCACAATCCTTCCGTGGCCACACTCTCATATATGGGTTCCATTTCAGTAATTTTCTATGCTCTTTCATTCCTCATATTTATGAATCAAACAAAATGTTTAATTCTTATCACATACATGTTGGTTGATATTGTGACTCAGTTTTACATTTTCATCTCTGTTTGTTATTGAATTACTTAATCAGATATAATGATTATATATTCCAATGCAACATATGAAATATTTTTAAGCATCTGTTCAGAGTTCCAAGAAGTGAACAAGTTGATTGTTGTAAGGTCAATAATTGAAGACCTTTAAAAACTTTCACGGTTCAAAATCTTGTCACCATGTTTATAAAGGTTCCTTGTTTGAATTTATAGCCAGAAACTGTAATTCAGTACTGGATACTGAATCTGATAACTGTAAGCCAGCCGAGGTTGGTCAACTCTTCACTATTTCACATCTTATGACTTCAAACTAGCTCACTGTTTGTATAATTCAAAATATTGAGTTCTGAATTTTGAGTATATGAGTTAGTTCAAAATCACAAGATAAATCCACCAAAGTAGTAAAGAGCTCACCAACCTCAGATGATAATTGTTGGGTGTTCAAATGTCCTTAAAACAATATGTACAGTGTATTAGTATAAGTCTATAAATAAATTGCTGTACTGATACTAAGGGTGTTGACATGACCTGGGTGGAGTGCTGGTTAATCCCAATGTAAAGACAGTAATCCCTGGTTCATTTACTGATACCTGTACGTCTCTATCAACTCTGTCCACCAGAAAGTGCTTAGAAACAAGTGGATAATCAATTCAAATACTGGTATAATCCTGCGAATAACCTTAGACTTTTGTGTAATGATTTAACTCCCTTTAATGGATATTCTTATTTTCTTCACTACGTACATATCAACCAACACTGGTATCTGAATCACCTAGTATGAAATACATCCTAATTACAAACATCAATAACATCCTTAGACTTTTGTGTAATGATTTAACATAACCTTAGACTTTTGTGTAATGATTTAACTCCCTTTAATGGATATTCTTATTTTCTTCACTATGTACATATCAACCAACACTGGTATCTGAATCACCTAGTATGAAATACATCCTAATTACAAACATCAATAACATCCTCTTACCTTACTATCTTAATCAGCATTGAGTGAAAAGAATAAACAATTTCGTATCAGACATCACCAAACAAAACAATAATAATGTCTAAAATTATACTATTTAATTCAATTTAATTATTGAATTATCTAGTTGCTTTTCTTGTCCTTTCTCTATAAATACACAGTTACCTCCCTTCCATATAAAACTGACAGCACTCTGTACCCTTGCCCTAGGTTTATACCTTTTGAACTCAATGCCATTTATGCCATCTTTTTTTTAATCTTTATTGTGAAAGTTTTTCCATTACACATCTTATTATTTAAAAACTGATAATGTCTATATATTATTCCACTGGTATCATATGTTATAAGCCACCCAGCCTGAAGTACCCTTAAATTATGCCTAGGATATGTTTAAGTTTACCCGAGCTTTTAGCAATATAATACTTATCTTATATGTGCATCCTCACACTATTCATCATATACACATCATATCAAAAATATGATTGTGACAAAATATACATTTTGACAGCATTTGTGATATACAATAACATATAGCCAGATGTCACAATTACCACTGTATGTGATACAACAAATCATTTGTAATGAGGCCATGACACTTGTAGATAATACAGGGTCCTTTATACAGCCATCCTTACAGAAATATATGCTGATAATGTATTTTCATATCTATATTTGTCACAAAATACACAGTTATCTTTGTTATGCAAATACAAATTTGTAATCTGTTTTGAAAACACAGTTCTAACCCAAGCTTTTCAATTCATTATTACTATATACATTTGCAAGGAGCAAAACTAAACTGCTTTTAAATTCAGTTTGAATTTATACCATTCAATTCTATGATTAATTGCAGCTTAACATAAAGTCTTTGAAATTTAAAGTAAAAATATTTCTGTATTATATTTAAGAATCTTAAAAATTTCCCAGCTGATGATTTTGTCAAATATCTGAACTACCTAGCAACTTAATTACTTTTTTTTCGTATGTTATAACTTCCGCACACCTATTTTTTTAATCCTTATTTCTAGACAGACATCTGTTGATCTCGGAGTGGTCCTTATTTCTAACAAACCTAAAAATCTCTTTAAACATGAAATTAAAAAACTATAGGTTATAACTTTTACAAGTTGTCGGAATATTAAGTTACAGGTGTGAGATCTCCTAGTACAGTTTATACAACCTCAGTATGACAACAATGGTCAAACCACAATTACCAACAGGTATCACTTTTTGTCGTTTACAAACTAAAAACTTTTCCATGAAAGTTAATAGGTGTTGTATTCAATCTTTTTTCTTGTTAGCGCCAATGCCTAGACATTGAAATCTGATTTTAACTTTATAACGACAATGTTACATGTAAGGTGACAGTAATATCCTCTCACTTCACACTGTATCAGAGTCTCCAGTTTGACATGAAAGGGAATAAAACGTAACCAGATCAGAAGCTATTCCACTTTATAAAATTCCCATAAAAGCACAAACTTCTTTCTAACATGAAATGATAAAATTACCAATTTCACAGTATCATATATTTATGGAAGATATCTTATCTGATAATTTGTTTGAATCACATAACTACAGCAGGTGATTTTGGTTTAATGTCATTTGGAGACTGCCTTATCAGTTGTTGAAACAGGCCACCCCAAAGAATGCATATAAATGCAAAACTGTTACAGACCTAAAGACGGATATTTGTGATGAAAAATTATATTCAGCTATTCTACTTAGTGCCAGTGTGACTGTAATGGACCCAATACAAACAGTTTTGAAAAGTTCAAAAACAGTCCATTTGTACAATTGAAAAAATACACAGGATGGTAATTATCACAGTACTTTTATTTTACTGCGCATTTAAAATTTTTTTTCTTCACCCCAAAGTGATTTTTACATTTAAAAAAGTCAACAAACTTAAAATTTAGTGAGTAGTTAAGCAAAATATATAATAATTGTGAAAAATGAGACACACGGAAATACCTACTCTGTTGAGCTTACTAGCAATAAATAAAATCACTTAAAAAGGGAGAGTTGGCCACTTACCATCATACATTTGGGCGTATTGTGGAAAACCAGCCTCCTTCAGCCATCTGCATGCTTGGACAGCTTCAATTTCTGTAAAATACAGAAAAAAAACCTTTTGAAATGATACTTCCCAGAAGAACATGTACAATCCCAGGGGACTTTAACCTCTAAACAACATGGCAAAAATGCATCTAATTACATTAGTAATGTTACAGATATAAAGAGATGAGATGATGGGCACTGTATGTCTCATAATTTTTACATCCTCCGGCAACGAAAACAGTCTGTTGCTGCTGTCAACACATAGAAAAAACATGGTCATCACACAATGCATAATTAATAAAATTTATTATAAAATAGTACAGATTGCATGCATGTTTGTAAAAACTAAAAATCAAACTTTTCTTCTCTCCAAAAACGAATCCATGAGATGTAGTGCTTCATTTAAACAATACCATGAAAATGAATCACACACCACTCATCAGAACGTCAATGAATCTGTGTAACTTTAATATGTTATCCCTTTCATTAGTTCACTGCAACTACATGGTATACAGTACTGTTTTAGTGATCAACTAGACTGAACTTAAAATGAGCTGGCACATGTAATTTTTCATGAAGCATATTTACCAGGTCATGAAATATTTCCTAACAGAAGTCCTATGTATCGAGAATAAATAAAAACTTTTCTTCATATTCAAACTGTTCGCAAAGACATGTATTTGATAAATTCCATGTAAGGTGCTAATGCATTTCAGTAAGATTACATTTTATGTATCAGATTTATTCAGAAATATTTTAAAATTTACGTGTAAAAATTTTGGTCGGTAAATCAAACACTACTCCTTAAGTTGTACAAATATTCAAGCCTTGTAATGCTCTTTAAAAACCTCAGAATATATTGAACGAGTCGTACCTAGGAAAGTGATTTGATAGCTGAATACAGAACCATCACTATACGTTATATAGGCTAAGCCAACACCACATTCCTCAAGAGTGACAACCCTGTTAGCGACAAAACATCTCATTTTTACGCGCAATCTTAGCGTGGGATCAAGATTCGACGTTTAATTTGCCTCACTGACAGAATTTTAAAATAGAGGTGATATTAATGGACAATCACTGCAAGTAATTTCCCTTATATGTCCTCCTTATCACATATTTAAAATACAGGTACATTGATGAAATAAAAATTGCACCAATATCTTTTTTTTTTCTTCTAAGATCAGGATCTTTCACCTGAAGTATAGATAACACCTGTCTGAAAAATTTTAATTTGAAATATGAATTGTTAAAATTTGACCACTCACTGGAACATATCTGCATGCAGAAAGACAGATATCTTCCTATTTTATTTGATTTGTAATGTAAATGTGACCAATATTGTTCACGATTAATTTTCACTTCATTCTTGCAAGATGCCAATGTATTGTTTAACTTATTTTTTCTTGAAAAAACCTGCATGTAAATCAATTTCAAATGTATGAAGTCACTTAAAGTTATCATAAATACAAAAATTTTCTAGTCGAAAGAAATATATTGAAATTGCTTTCAACTTTATAGATTTTATGTGGACTGCTTTTAACTACAAAGCTACCATTGTCTTACCTTGAGTGCGAACTTCACGACATGACCCTAAGCAGCCAACTTTGGCAAACATATTCCTGTTACACCTATGGCAAGTGGTGCCATTAGCTTTTTCATGGGAATTCTTACCGAAGGAAAACTTCAGATGAAGGCAGTCTGAGATTAATTTGACTGATGTCATTCTAGTAAACTCCATTTAGATAGGTGAGAGAAGGGTAAAAGTGAAACTTGGCTTTAGTGCGGTATGTATTATACTTTGTCGATCCTTGCTATGTAATTTATCCTTTATTCATCTGTAGCATTTTGTGAAGACACCTGTGATGTCAAGAGTTTCTGTGAAAAACATTTTCCACCTAGTGAAACACATGTCGTCAGATGAACACAGATCCAACCCTCATCAATGTCAACCTACGATGGTCTCTAGGTTGTTGAGAGTAAAGACTATCACACACAGATCTTACTATGAAATAGGTTCTCACTGTGTAAATCCCAAATGGCTAGAGCAAATATGCTTGGCCCTATTTAACTTCTCACCCTATAGTTCAATAACATGGACCAAAGTCTCGGAGGGTTGTTCTTTGGCTGATGGCTCTTCCTTCGAGCTAAAGTATTTCTGGAAGACTTCAGGAGTTAAAGAAAGCAATCACAAGCAAACATGAAAAATGTAGACCAAGTTCGATATCCTCATTTCTAGAAATATGTCTGATTTTGTTGAAAGAGTCAGCTCCGCCTTTAAATCCACATTTCCTGTCTGTGTATGCATGGTGACTATAACAAACAAAGCGGTTTATAACCATTCTAAGCTTGTACACCAACAATAGTCATCTAGAACTAAGACAATATTTGCTGAGGATAAAATTCACAAAAATGTTCCAATATTTAAATCCCCTAACAAAGGTAGGACAGGCGATTCTTCAACAAATTCAGAGGACTGGTCACTGTTCATTTGTGGACCAGAGCAGCTAATGCGTTAGGTCAACCCTCTAGATGACTTTGTCGTGACCGTGTTCAATTGACCAGCTGAATACTATCGTTGCCCACCACCAGACACTGCGATACATTTGTTATGGTGTAATCTGGAGCCCGATAAATGCAAACAATGACGCATTCCCCGTCCAGTTTTAAAACTGTCTTCATTGATTTTGACCAACAGCCAACTATTTCCTGTAGTGTCCATTGCTCTATAACTATCGACATCAACTGCTTGAAACTCACAATTTAAACTTTCCAATTTTGAAATGAGGGCTATCAAAGCCAACATCAAACGACGACTGAATTGCGAGACGTTATGACATGGTTCGGGTCGGTGTGAAGGGAACGCTATCACTGTTTATCAACACTGTCCACGAAATAATCACTAGGTTGTCCTTCCCCACCCACTATCTCCTAGTCGACTCTCCATACAATCTACCTGTCCTCCTTGAGTCCAAACTGTCCCTCTCCAGCACACATATACAACAAGCTGCATGTCATAATCACTAGAAATTCACAGGTATACATACATGTGTAAATGAAATTCAATTTCTTATTTTTGTAAAACCTGGGAGACTAGCAGCTGAAAAGAGGAATTATGCAAATGCATTGCGTCACAACACTTGAAAGGAATACTGAGCTCTCAGGCAAGATCATTCACTCATAGTTAGAGACAGTCACATCTAAAGTGTGGGATGAGACTATTGAGGATTTATAGGGTGACCAGGATGTTAAATTGTCATATTTACCTATAATGTATTACCTTAAAACACACCTGTGTGTATAGTCATCAGCTATTAGGAGAAATGATTTTTATCTGTGATCTCTCACTTTAATACACACCTGTAAACAAATGTTGATATATATTCTCTTCCTATGGTAGATGAAGTGATTTTTTACCTATTATTTCCTTACACACCTATGTCTTACATATTCAATAGGAGAAACCTATGACAAATAGGTGGAAATTGTATACCTGTACCTCAGACTACAGAGAGGCCTACCACAACATTGCCTTCCTTTCTCATCGTCAAAACATGATGACATTCCTGTACAAAATCTCAATATAGGAAACAAGAAATGATGGGACAATGATAGGGTATACTCGGTCATCAGTACCCTAAATGCTTCGTATTTTCTGGCATTTTAGCAAAAACAAAATTCAAAGACTAAATTTATCAATAATCATCATTCTTATGCAAATTCTAGATAAGTAAGGTATTTCATGTAAAAGGTATATAAAAAAAAATATTACAGAAATAGAGAATGCAGTCACTTTCTATATTGAATACCTATCTGATTTAACTGATGATAAATCATGGAATTTAACAGATTTTCCATCACTAGAAAAAGGCATCATTACATAGCATTCCTGCTTTTTGGGGACTGAAAAAGGTATAATAAAAAATCACTATGTATACATAAGGTTACATTTTTCACATCATTACATATCAGCCTGGCTATAAAAAAATGACCTAGCAGTGTAGATATATGATCCAAGTTTGAAAATATGGTCTTAATTGACAGCCATGATGGTACATACGCAGAGCATCATGAGCCTCAAGTGATAATGAGAAAGGCAGCATTTATCCTCAGGGGAAAGAACTCCAACATAATCAACTACCAAATAATCATGCAAGGGAGATAATTGTCTAGCAGGAATCTGAGTTAATATGTGAAATGTTATTTATTTCAAAGTGGAGATGACTCCATCACAAACCAATGGCATAGGATTATGAAAGAAATGGTACTTTTTTCACTAACTGGCACATTTCCAAGAATCAAATATATTAGCAATTTCATGCGAGAAACAAAACCCGAAATATTAATACCTTGATTTGAAATAGCGGTTGAAGTCAAGAATATATATTTATGTATATAGGTAAGTTGTATAGATATAGTTATTTATCCCATATGTTATTTGTTTTTGCTAAAGCTTCCTCCATGATCAAACACCGGTTTTATATGGGAATTGTATGAAGAGATCATTAATACAAGGTTACCTGTACTGTTATGTTTCACATTTAATCCCTTCAGTCTGATTTTCATTGAATCACTATTTCAAGTAAATTAGTTAAAGCTGTTGTAAAGATAATATTATGATGGATTTGATATTAAATAATAAAGTCTTACATGATAAAAAATTATTTCAAGATAGAAATGGAAAAAGTAAATGTACAGCTCAAAACCTGTTGAATGAATTCCACACTCAGGGAAATGAACAGTCCAAAACGAAGGCAAAAATGGTGAGTGCTATAATATCATCTGAAAAAATATGATACAAAAGTGTCTTTACAAAACAGAATGGATTCTTACTTGTTTTCCTGGAGTGAATATTTCCGACAATCAGTTGTAGGATGAAAACACTATCCATATGGACAGATTCTGTATCCCATTAGTCTATAACACTAAATATCTAGTACTACGCACTCTCTATCTATATATATATGTATCTTTGACTAAATTAACTATAATTAAATTTGTAGTCTTCTATATTCTGAATGAATTGCTATGTTAATCATGTGCATTAC